CATAACCTGCCTAGATGGACTCACTGGTGAATTCTGTGTGTTAGCCTTGTTTCTGCCACTGTGGCATAGCTTCCACACGATGGGGAATATGGGCAGTGATAACTCTCAGGTTTTACAATATACAACTTGGCTACTACAGAATCTACTTTTTTTTTTCCTTTCTCAATTAATATTGGAAAATAAAAGAGCTCTGTTTGTGTTATATGCTCATCATGAAGAAATCAACTGTGGCCAAAAATTGGGGATATGTAAGAAAATGGAATTTTCCACAGAACTCACAGAGTTTAAGCTGAGAAACAGTGTAGTAAATTGTATAATTGTCCCCAATTATTTGTTCTTCCCTTTCCACGTATATGTGAATTGAAGCATCCCCTTCCTTGAGGAAAGAGTATATGAGGGGTCTTCAAAAAGTTCATGGAAAGATTCATATTATCTTTTAATTCTATTTGTCTACAAACTTTTTGAAGTGCCCTCATATATCCCCTCCCCACTGAGGCTGGGCTTAACCTTATAATATGCTTTGGCCAATAGAGTGAGAGAGGACATGACATACAACACACTTGTGCAGAAGCTTTAAGAGGCATCATGATTTTTAGCAGCTCCCTGGCTACCATGAGAATGGGTAGGTTTCACAAAGAAGCTGCCTGTTCAACCTGCAATCCAAGATGAGACAATACATGATGCACAGCTACAGCCTTCCCAAAGCCTGAGCAGCACCATAGGCAATTTGTAGTCTACATGTAACATAAGCAAGAAATATTCCTTTGTTTTGTAAGATGCTTGCTGTGGCCTGAATGTGTCCTCCAAAATTCATATATCGAAATTGCTAATGTGACACTATTAAGAAGTGGGGCCTTTAGGAAGTGATTAAGTCATGAAGGCAGAGCCCTCATGAATTAGATTAGTAACCTTATAAAAGGGTAACTAGGTCCCCTTTGCCCTTTTCTGGTCTTTCCACCATGTGAGATCACAGCATTCATCCCCTCTGGAGGACTCGGAGTTCAAGCTGCCATCATGGAAGCAGAGACTGGGCCCTTCCCAAACACTGAACCTGCTGGCATCTTGATCTTAGACTTCCCAGTCTCCAGAACTGTGAGAAACAAGTTTCTGTTATTCATAAATTACCCAGCCTCAGGTATTTTGTTAAAGCAGCATGAATAGACTAAGACAGCACTGAACTTTCTGAGTTGTTTTTTATGTAACATAACTCAGTGAAAGCTAATTAATATAAGCAGTTCCCAGAAACAGATGCTAGCCAGTGAAACATTAAATTGCTTAAAACATTGCCTAGTATACAGAAAGTATTCAATAAATTATTGCCAAGATATAAAATTATATTTATATATAGATGACTACCACTGTTTATTAGAATCAGATCACAGAGTCTCCTGGAGAAACAGCAAAAAAGTCTAACTTTCCAACTCCTTTTATTGAGTCACAAAAAAATTCTCATCATAAATATGAGTTATAATATATTGAGAATAATATAATTTATCCATATTCCTTATATTTATTTATTCTATATCTTGTTGCCCTAACTAGATTTATGAGAGACCGTTGTCCTACTGGCAACTCACTTATAAATCATTTCTTAGAATTGTTCATTCCTATAAAATGATCGATGTTTTCCAGTATATTACTGGGGAAAACAACAACAACAACAACAACTTGTTAATTATGCTGGTTATTGTCCAATGCCCTACAGAACCATTTTCTACTCTTCTTTTTCCTTCTCTGAGCCCTGAAGGGAAGCTGACCTCCACAGGTCTTATCATTCAAGCTCTGTTACTGGCTGACTTTGGATTGGGTTCTGCAAATAGGAGGCACCAGTAAGAGATTGGACAGCAAAGGGAGAAAAAGGTCACAGAATTCTCTCCTTTACTATGGCCACACCTCCATTGAGGTGGCCCTTCTTCCACGGCTAGGTTGTGGTAATACAGTCAGTCCCCTCCTTCTGCTCCTTTGGACCATGGATGATAATAGCTCCCAGTTGTTACTAGCCTTTGGGTACCTCACAAACTTTGTTAAATCTTTTCCTTACTTCCCTCACCTTTGTAAATATTCCATCATTCCATCTATTAAACTCTCTTGAATTAAGTGCCTTGATTCTTTTCTTCCTAGGATCTTGACTAGTAGTGATTGATGGGGAATGGTGGGAGAAGTATAAAGAGTTGAGGTAACTCTCAGGTTTAGATTATTTGCTCCTCAATGGATTTCAGCATTTTCTTGGATGCTTTGTTTAGAACATTCTCTGTTCAGATTGCTTGGAATCCACCTACCACCCACCCTCAACTGCACCAACACCTTGTGTGGCATCTGAAGCAGGGGATTTGGACAGGTTCTCCAGAAACACATATGGTACCTTGTACAGAGTAGCACTCAATAAACGGATTTCTCTAACATTGTCTCTGAACTCTGCTGTCACATTTTTAAAGGCCTTGTATACTCCAATTCTGAAACCAGAATCAATCTGGCCATTATTAGAATTTTATATTCAACTTCGAGTTCTAGCTTTTGAAGTGTCCATGGAGTAATTAGAAAAGAGTTATCATAGGGGCCGGCCCGGTGGC